CCCCAAAACCCCAAAACCCCAAAACCCCATGAATCCAAAATAGCTAATAGATTTGAATAGATATTTAATATCAAAAGCCTTAAGGATTATTGCAGCTTCTTATTAATCATGGGTTGACCTTGAAATCATAGCTGTAAGAGAATGAGCCCTCTCCGTCCATAATTTCATTTCCAGCTTCAACACCAACAATGTATCTTCTGCCGTCTAATCTGTTTCTCTTCCAGAGAAGGTTGAAGAAATCAAATAAGTTTTGGTTGTCGATATTCCAGATACCTTGTTGGTTGCTGAAGGTGAAAACTTCCCAAGAAGCACCACCGCCTGACATGGTTCCATACCATAGGTCCCAGTTCATTCCCCAGATGTTGACTGTGTCGATCTTGCTTCCAATTGGGTATTGGGCAACGTGGTTCATCCAGATCATGACCTCGACTCCTGGGTTCTTTGGGTTGGTTTCATCAATTCCTCCGAGCCAGACGTCCCAAGAGGTGTTGAGTTACTCAAAATCTTACTTTTTATCATGGCTAATGTGCCAAGACGTCATCAGTCTTGGGGTCTCATAAACTCTGGCTGGAAGTCCTCCAACACCCTCACCGTACTTGTATCCATAGTGCCACCCAGCAATCATGGCAGGATAGGCCTTCACAGTGTTACCACCAGATTGAGTAGTCCATTTGTAGTCTACTTTATTATCTTGAACGCATTACCAGCTGTCTCCAGTGGCTTGACCCTTGCCCCATTTGTTATTAAACATATAGAGGTGATTAGGTAAATCTATCTGACCCCAGTCATCACAGTTTTATCCTCCTCTGACTGTGAGACCATCATCGGCCTAGAGGAAGGATTTTTCGTTGTGCATATGAGGAGCCCTAAAATTTGCATCATGCATTTTATGTTAATACTCTTGATTGACAGTGTGCTGATGATTGCAACTTACTGCTCCGATCAGAGCAGCAATAGCTAGAGATTTCATAGTTAGGATATTTGTTATTTAATTATTATAATTTATATAATTATATCTTTACAAATATAGAAGAAATATAACTATCACCTCTTGACCACTAATTTACAATGATGGGGTTTTGGGGTTTTGGGG